AAGTCTGTACTACTTATATTTAAATTTTCAAAGCGATCTAGAAGCTTTGACCTGACAAAATACACTTTAATAAAAACACACTATTTTCCAGATAATTTGGGTTTACGCCTTTCGTTTTTGTCACATGATATGTGCAATAATGTAACAGTTGCACAATCACATGATCCAGGTTCCTGTGAGTTACCCTAGCCAATTTCAATTCATCTTCCAATAAAAAATTTTACTTAAGGTTTATCTTTTACCAATTATTCTAGCGGGCAAATTTGGCTGCTAAACCCGAACGGTTTAAGGAATAATAACTTATTTTATTTCAAAAAAAAAAACACTGTGCAGAATCTCCAAATACATACAAGATGATGTATCATAGATTTCTAGGTTGTTTTCAGTCTGCAAAACAAGTGGAAGAAAAAGCTTACCTAAGGCTTGCTTTCCTGGTAGGTTTATTAGTAAAAATCACATCTGGTATATGGTACAGCAACTGAATAGTTTGCTAATTAATTGTATCTTTTCGTGACTCTTTAACTGAAGGTTGAAGATGATAGAACCCTGAAGATACCATCCCGAGTTCCCCCAAGACACTAGCCCAAGTTTCTCCAAGACACCATCCCAAGTTCCCCCAAAACACCAGCCATGAAAATGAACAAGAAGCCTCTTCCTCCAGTGTTTTAGTTTGTTTTTTTTGCCATAACATAGGGCATTTTGTAGAAGATTGCGTCTTGATCCTGAAAGAGCACATCAGGCCGCTTGCTTTTTCTATGTCACCCAAGATGAAAAAGGATTAAAAGCTGTCAAAAACCTTTTAAATTCATTCCTTTGCCATCTTCACCTAATACAATCAATAGAACTAGTAAATGTATTTATATAATTTATTTTTTTAATAAATTCCAAGATTTTTTTAAAATTTAAGAAATAAAAAACTTAAAAGGTCAAATCGAAGCTATAAAAAAAGCATTGAAAAAAAGAATAAATAGGCATGCATCTTTCTTTCGACTTTACAGATTAGCCTTTTTTTTGTTTGTTATATGCTAACAAATTACGTATTAGATTCAAGAATTAGACAACATCCTTCAGGGAACTGAAATAGTAGAAAAAATTGTAAAACACTTACGATGATTAGGGTTGCGATCCAACCCTTTTTTTTCAAATTGACATTAGTACTAGAGATGGTGTTACCAAAAAAATACTACGCGCGTAATGATGTTCATAATTGAATATAAAAGAGATGGTTGAAATGATTTTTTTTCAAGTAATCAATGGGACCTCTATTGGCTTTCTTATACAAGAATTAAGTTATATTGATCCCATACAAGTCACAATTGACCCACGACCTTATTCACAAACTGACACTTTGGAAAAGAAATTTGAACAAACCTTTCAGAAACTTCTACAATCAACTAGATATAGATCTCGTTGAATAAAAGCATTAGTCCATGCCAAGAAATCTACAAATTCTACAAATCCTACGATTTCTACAATTCCTATAATTCTACATTTTCTACTAATTCTACTCTTTCTATTATTTATCTCACTGTTATTAGTTCTAATTATATGCATTAGTTATATTAGATTACACATACTTTATCCCATAAAATAAATCTAGTATAATCGATAGATATAATGGTTGAATTCAACATGTATAAATATCCTCGATTTCTTTTTGAGAGTCGGCAGTTCACCACTCATATTATATTAAATAAAATACTAAATCGTGTCTTCATACACGATATAACACCATTCATGTCTTCATATGCGAGTAACAATCCAAATTAATCGTTAAGTGAGTTACGATCTTGAACACGTGACTATCGTAAAGAGAGTTTGCGATAGATATAGTAGATTTTGTTATAATACACACTTATACGTCTATTTGTATCTTCATATACATTTAGCCGTTTGTCTCTTTCACAACTGCAAATCACATAATCCTCTAAAGCGTAACTGCAATAAACCTTATACTTTACTTAAGCACAACCCGTATTAGTTATTAACTATATAGAATATTCGTCGCTAAAGTAAATTAGTCATACCGAGCTTATAAGAGGTAGCTTTTAGGTGTAACAGATGGTAATCGATTAGACAACAATCATTTGATGTGTATGATCGTAACCGATTAGGCCGCGCAAAGTTGATTTTTCGTTTTGCATTACCCACCGACCCATTTTTTCAATTTTTCAATTTTTTTTTTTAAACCTAATTATCCTATTGCTGTTTAATTTTTCCATAAATTAATCCGGTATCACCCGATATAGACCTTATTTTCCCGAAATTATCCGATAGAACTGATAGAAAAAATTTGACCGCCATTGTTTTATACAAGAGAAAAATTAACTTTGTGCAGCCTTATGAACTTTGCCTGATACTTACCAAGCATCACTAGTATTATATTCGTCACATTATTTGTGAGACTTATAAATTTAAATGCAAATAATTTTTATGCTCAAAACTAATCAACGCAAATACGTAAAATGAATATTTGCCTTAATTATTTTCTATTGCTAATTCTTTAGCGTTAGTATGTTGTATATATTAACCTCATGCTTGAAATTAACACCTGCTTAAAGTTGTAGCTCTTTAATTGAAGTTACGATATTAACTAAAGTTACGTAACATATTATCAATGTACAGGGATCCATGCGTTTTTGCTGTAACCGCGATCGTGACTGATATTAATATGCCCCATCCACACTTTATGCCTATCGACCATATCAATATTGAACTAACCGCCTTAGCGAACCCAAATAAGGAAATATACGGAAGGTCGTTACACAGCCATTAAAATTTTTTTTTGTTATATTATACTTATATAATTTTTGTATTGCATTTTATAGCATCCTATATACATGCGTTTATATCCAATTATCCAGGATATTATTGCATATTCTCGATTAGTCTTTATGATTAAAATGTAATCTTGTCTATTTTATTAGAAATCATGTGTGAACTTACGAAAGGAAATCTTCCAGAAAATACAGCCGACAGATATAATTGGCAGTATTAAATTTATGACTGAACTTGCTACCTAGTTAACCTAGGTAAGTTTAATAAGTATTTGAATAAATATTTGGAATAGATATTATTGAAAGAACAATCTAATATCTAGGCCCTACTAATCGATGGTTTTTTTTTTTTTTTACAGCTTATGAAATTTGTTCTTGTACGTTTTGTTTTTTGTATAAGTCCATACAAATACTTAAGCAAAATTTAAGCTACCTTGTTAATAAAGAAAAGAAAATAAAATAAGGCATATATCTTTTTGTTTTAAATAAAAAAAGGGTCAACCATATTTTGGAGATGTATTTAGGTCATAATACAAACTTAAGCATTAATATAGCTATAATTTTTTTTATTAATATTATCAAGTTGCTTAAACCATTCTAGGTCAATATGTCTTTGAAGTCTAGTCATACAAATTTTTTCTTTATTTTAATATATGTTGGATGCTAAGCCGGTGATGCTAGAATTTTTGGGTCTCGATTTGGTTTTATAGATTTATTAAAGCCACTTATATGTACCCTTTTACTAGCAATTCTAATTCTAGGTTAACCCTAAATTATGACCAATTTTTTAAACCAACCAAAACAAAAAAAAAACCGTATAGTGTTGCGATTAAGACTAAATTCAGCGTTCTATGATGCGTTATACTTATTTTTAAACATATTCTTTGATGTCAATTCTGTGATTTAGTACCAATTATGTGATTTTAATATAAAAAAAAAATGTAGCATTTTTTAACTATCATTTAAAAGATTAGCTATACTATAGCCAGAAGCTAAAAGTATACATTATATCTTACGCATCGGTAAAATCGGTAAACCGCATTCCTGTACGATAATCGGCGATAAAAGCTTAGCTTATGTTTATTTTATTTTATTTTAATTATGTTTGATTTCTATGGTTAGCTGTTTTTAGAGCATAAAAATATGATTAACGTAAGAACACATTACATATACATAAATAGTATTCTAAAAAACAAAATCTATCGCTATTACTGTATTATTTGTCATACACTGTATTTTGACCGGGGTCGTCTTAAAAATATTGCGGTATTCAAAGGGATTCATTGAATATTATTAAAATGCAATACAAAAATTATATAAGTATAATATAACAAAAAAAAA